GAGTGATGGCGAGAGATGATGAGGAAGGGAGGGGCCCCCCCCCAACACACACACACACACACACACAGAGAGAGAGAGAGAGAGAGAGAGAGAGAGAGAGAGAGAGAGAGAGAGAGAGAGAGAGAGAGGAGGGGGGGAGCATGTGTTGGCTGCGGTGATCGTTCGATACCAACCATTTTATTTCATCCTATCATGATGGTGGTTGTTCAATTATTGCCAGGATCGTCATGCACTTCATAATGTCGAGATCTGGATGAATTCTGCTCTTTTCTTCATCAGTTTCTAAAAGTTCTCTCTTTCAGGTTATCAATATGTCACACAGTCACAGTATATGTTCAGATAAGCAAAACGATGCACTTTCAGTATCACTCTCCAGAAAAGAACGGGAAGAGTGTTGTGCGGTCTTTCTGTGCCAAAAACCTGTCTCTTATACACATCTAGATGTGTATAAGAGACAGGAGAGAGAGAGAGAGAGTTACCCGGTCGGACCATAAAGCCCGGAATGGAAGATTGAGTTGTTTTTATTCTCTTGAACCATGGTGCTTACACAGGAAGGGGGCGAATCGAAGGGTCTGCGTAAGGAAGAAGCGTGTGCGAAAACCGTCATCCTCATCAGCCACAGAGCTTTTCTTCAGAGATGAATCCCAAGCAGTCATCATGGAGCTTTTTGCTATGTTCCCCCCAACCGAGGAGGAGTTGACGTCCGCGCTGGGCGATCGGGGCGAGGAAAGCAGTCCCCATGTCAAGCCGTGGAGGCCCAGGCCGGTGGCTGTGGATCCGATGGTTTTTGTGAAGCAACGGGCTGAGTACGCGGCCAGATTCTCAAACCCAGCGTTGCAAAAAGTAGGTTGCCATGTGATGTGGGTCAGTGCATGCTGTTCTTTTAGACAAGGAAATATGAATGAAGGGAAAACTAGGGTGCAGTCATGTTTTTTTTCAGTTTGAAATGCGTTTCAGTCGTGATTTCGCGAATGTTGCTCCAAAGTGAGGAAAATGGAAAAGAGTTTTATGAACGGCAAAACTCAACAATTGCAATTGGCAAAACAAGCAAAACGTCAATTGCAACAAAGAGTGAAAAAAAATGTCTCCCCTCCAGTCCTCCGCTGCTTCTCCTAGCCTCAATCTCGCTCGGCACCCTGAGACAGAGAGACTCGATCTGCGCTTCCATTGCCACCGACTCGCTGTAGAACCTCACTCTATTTCTGAACCTTCCCTGCCTTCGACTTCCGTCAACACATCGCAGAAGTGTCCCGAGCGGGAGATCTTCCCTTCCTGAGCCAAACTGGTACCGCCTAGGAGAAAACATCCCCCCCACTCCTCCCACCCAATTTCCCTCCCTCGCCAAGAGAAGTGGCTGAGAATAAGGTCACGTTCACTTAGAGCATATATACCATAATGCTTAACACATATTTCTAAATGTTGGTATTTCAGGGTACGTCATGTGTCCAGTTTTGGGGATAATTTGCAAAATACCCCCATAAGTTGGGATATATGCCAAAATGCTCCTAAAAGATGTGGGTAGAGCGGAGTGAAACGGTATTCACCTGCTCGCAGTAGCGAATGCAGATCCCAGGGCTCGATCCGTAGACTTACCGTACCTGTGTACACTACCTATGTCGACCCCAGGCGTTGAACCCACGACTTGTGTCTGTTCCCGCAGTTGGTGGGCTGTCGTAGGGTCTGTAGATCGTAGGGGTTCGATCTGTAGACCTGTCAAATAGTGGTCTTAGGTACTTCTAGAAGTCGTAGCTGTAGGACCTCTGAAAGGTCAAGGTCGTAGCTGCTACAGTCCTGAAAGGTCAAGGTCGTAGCTGCTACAGTATCCGAAAGGCCAGGATTGAAACTTCTGGAAGGTCCGGGTTCTGGTCTTTCGAAGTTGCTCACGTTTAGACTGAGGCAAGTGGGCAAGTGGTGGAGTCTACCCGTGCTGAGTCAGGAGTCCCAGTCCCAGTCAGTCCTAGTCCAGTCAAGCAAGTACCGTATGGGACTGTGTGTACCCAGGGCATGGGAAAGGGCCAGACCAATGAGCTTCAAGTATAAATCAAGAGGCAGCGCCCAGCCATTTATTCATTACTGCGTAAGCCATGCGGAAGCGCTGCCACAGCGACTTGTGCGAGGTGGTCTGCAGTGAGCCCGAAGACGAAGTGGGCGAGAAGGAGCTTAGCCATAGC